TCCTCCCTCGACGCTGACGCCGAGCTCCTCCCTCATCGACGACGAGTTCCTCCCTCCTCTCCGAGCTTCCCCGCTATCGACGCCGACGCTGACCCCGACGCTCATCGTCGAACACCGAGCTCCTCCCTCGACGCTGACGCCGAGCTCCTCCCTCATCGACGACAAGTTCCTCCCTCCTCTCCGAGCTTCCCCGCTATCGACGCCGACGCTGACCCCGACGCTGAGCTCCTCCCCTGTGCTTCTCCCTCGTTGAAGACCGAGCTCCTCCCTCGACGCCGACGCTGAGCTCCTCCCTCGTTGATGCATTTGAGCAAATAGTCAGAGGTATAATTTCCAAACTACTTTGTAGTTAATCGATCTGTAGATGCATAAGTGGACATTATAATCCTTATTCAGATTGTTAATCATGTTTTCCCTTCATTGGAGATGTTGGTTCTTGTACACCAGCTATCCAGGATTAGATAATTTCCTTTATAATATCATTTATACTTGTTTCCAGGCCGAGCTCCTCCCCCGTCTATGCCGGACTCTCTCTTCCAATTATTGATGGCGATCTCTCCAACACCCAGCCTCGACAATCTCTTCGAAAATCAAAGTGTTTCACTCCAAAGAACCAATCTTTCTGAAAAATTTTCTGAGGTAAGCCATCGGTCTTAAATCATCGAATTATTGCTAATTTTGTGATTATTAGCTGTGATTGAATTTTCTGAATAATTATCATGTTCTTTGGAATTATTAGCTGTGATTGAATTTAATTCTTTTGGTTGAGGATAAAATTTGAAGAAGATTATTTAATGCATGACAGGAATATCACTAGCATATTGATTATTGCTACCTCATTGGTCATTGCCAATGTTTCAGGGCTACGAGAACACTTGGTTGTAACTTCGGAGCATGTCAGAGCATTTTTGGAGCCTGTTGCGTGTTCGAACAACTCATTGGTGAGCATTTCTGCAATTGCACTCGCACACTTATATTTTGAAATAAAGTTACAGTAAACCAAAATATTGCCTTAATGTGAAACTCTGATTACTCTATTTTTTGATGAACTGCCATGATCTCGCAATGCCTTGTTATATATCCCTTGTAGGATGACGAGTCAACCAGCTGCAGTTTCCCCCAGGTTGTTGGAGCAGAGGTTGCTGGAGCATAATGTTATTTAAGCATTTAAGCATTTAAGTATCTTGGATCTCAGTCTACATGTATCGACAATAACTTTGGTTGTAACTTTATTTTGTTTTGAAACATGAAAATGACTCTAATTTGTGAGAACACCTGATTGTAACTTTGGATGATGTAATCTGGTGTTAGAAATCTCTGCTAGTTTCTTCTAATTGTGTTTATGGTGAAATTGTTTAATGTGTGTATTCATGAAGTGTTTGCATCTGTGGCTATTTTGGGATCTTGTATATACGTATTATGTGTGCTTTAATTCTTGATGAAAGGAGATGTTCATGGACGGCAATGAATTATAAATGTGACTGTCCAAGAGCAGAAATTTATCAAATGAGAAGAGAACAAATGTTCTCATGAGTACGCTTTGCTTCTACCTGATTAGGTTGAGGACTGTCAACTAGAAAGCTAATCAAACAACGAACAACATCATTCACTGATGAAGAGGATGCTTCTCCTACTACACTCTTTTCAACATGGCTGATGCACATAGAGCTAGTGATTGCTGGCAAACATATATATATATACCGGTGTCATAATTTTCAGACATAACAGAAGTATGAATCATATAACATGGAGGTCATACCTTTATATATAAAAAAGTTCGATTGCTTGCAGCTAGTTGATATTCTTCACTATATATGGAAAACAAGCCTTTGATAGAACTCTTGGTAAGAACAAGGAAGATTGATTGATGATAAAGGAGGAGAATAATATCAACCAACTCTCTCTTCTTCTAATGCATAAATTGAAGAGAGGAGGGGCCTATTTATAGTCTCAAAAAGCCGACACGATGTAATAGGAAAGCTATTTTACCCCTTGGGTGAAATCCAAATCCCAGGAGCCATCAGAGCATCACCACAATTTGCACCTAAAAATCCTAGTTCTCAAAGGATTTTAGTCCTAATTCATTGGTAAGCAGGTGGTCACCCTGTCCAAATTGAATTTAGAGTACAAATCAAAGCACGAGTCCCGCTCAGACTAAGGCGCCCATTGGCACAAGAAGCACACCAAATATATATAGTGCATATATGTAGGGTTTTTGTTTTTTGAGTCCAACTTCTCTGCGATCTTGATTGCATAGAATGTATACAATTAATTATGTGGGCTAATGTTATTAGTTTATCTTAGTAGGTCTAATATAAGGGCTTGTTTGGATTGAGGGAAATGAGGGTGAAGGGAAGTTAGGGGAACCATTCACTTCTATTCACCTTGTTTGGGAACACTTAGGAGGTGAAGTTAATTCACCCTAGTTCCCCTTGGTTCACCCCCTAATAGTATGAAAATTGTTACCCCCCAAATTGGGGTGTAACCAAGGGGAAGGGAACTCCCTTCCCTTCCCTTCACTCAGTTTCCCTTAACTTCCCTTCACCCCCTACAAATCCAAACAGGTTTTTTGTATAATTTAGATAAACAAGATCTCAATAATGTTTATCTTGGTGTCTCAAATGACTTAGATGAATGCACCCCTTTAGTACTGTAGTATCGGAAATCCAAAAATAAAGCTCCTAGATTTGTCCTAGTGCCTAATTTAGTTGCTTGCTTATTTATCTTTTTCTCTAGTTTGTGTTGTTATGATCATTTGGTCTCTGAAGTGCACAAACATAAACTCAGTGATATGATTTTTTTGTTTTATTTGTATTCGAACAGAATGGGTGGGAGTCCTTTATCATAACCTCATTGAGGGATTTTTATTGGCCGAAAATAGCCCACGAGAAATTTAGATGAAAAAGACCAAAATTGTGAGCTATAGTCACTTCTCTTTTCCTAACCTCCTACTCTTGTACTGTTTACTAACACATGTTGTGCGCGGCGGAAGCTTTCTTGAGCAACACGAACAATAACTCGAACTAAACCACAACTAATATGCAAACACAACCATAGCAAGAACAAACAATTTATGTGGTTCGGCAAGTTGCCTACGTCCACGGGGCAAGGAGGGAGGGAGTTCTTACTATTAGAAATCAGAGAATACAAGTAGAGTTACAAATCTCACCGATCAAACCCTAAAACAAAGCTCTTGATCTCTCACAACTCTCCCACAATTGGATGCAACAATCCTCTCTCAAAGACTGCTCAAATTCGTCCTTCTGCGTGCACGTTGGCGGTCGACCGCCAGTCTGTCTGGCTGGTTCCTTCCTGTTTCCTGTAATTCTTCAATTCTCCACATCGGCGAATGTTTCCACCAAAACTGAGCCGACACCAAATCACCCAATAGTCCCTCAACGAGTCAGGGAACCAATCTAGAGCTGAAACGCGATCTCTCCCCCCCATCTGAATCAACTGATCAAACTGGCCGCATCTGAAAGACTGCCTACGTATCCTCTTGCCCAATGAATCAAGCCGAACGTAGTTCACCCAAATGGCCTCCAAATGCCTCAGCACTGAAGGATGTTCAAAAGCTTCAAACAATGACCAAATTTCACTCCTGAAACAACTTTGGTCAACATATCTGCAGGGTTGTCATTCGTGTGGACCTTCTCTAATATGACGTCTCCATCATCCAACACGTCACGTACAAAGTAGAATCTGACATCAATGTGCTTCGTGCACGCATAATAAACCTGGTTTTTCGCCAAATAGATAGCTGACATGCTATCACAATATACCCGAATAGTCTCCTGAGCGATCCCCAAGTCCTCCAATAATCCACGCAACCATAAAGCCTCCTTAATAGCTTCAGTAACTGCCATATACTCTGCCTCTGTAGTAGAGAGATTCACTGTGGACTGAAGCGTGCATCGCCAACATACAGGTGCACCTGCCAATGTAAAAGCATAACCTGAAGTAGACCGGCGTTTGTCAAGATCTCCAGCATAATCTGAATCCACATATCCAATACAATCCTGCCCATCATTCTCATCCTTCTGGAACACTAAACCAATATCCACGGTGCCTCGAACATACCGTAGAATCCACTTCACGGCCTCCCAATGACCCTTCCTGGGGTCGTGCATGTATCTCGATACCATGCTCACGGCCTGTGACAAATCTGACCTCGTACACACTATCGCATACATCAAGCTACCTACTGCACTGGCATATGGAACCTTTGACATATAATCTCTGTCCTCAACTGAAACAGGTGATATCAACGCTGAAAGCTTGAAGTGGGGAGCCAATGGTGTGCTAACTGCTTTTGCATTGCCGTCAAAGCTGAATTTCTTCAACATCTTCTACAAGTAGCTCTTCTGTGTAAGTTTCAAACTCCCTTTCATCCTGTCTCTCTTGATCTCCATACCCAATAACTTCTTTGCCTCTCCAAGATCCTTCATCTCAAACTCGGATGACAGCTCATCTTTCAACTTTCGAATAGCCGAAGAATTCCTGGAAGCAATAAGCATATAGTCAACATATAAAAGCAAATATATGTGCTCACCATCATGTAGCTTGTGCATATAAACACATGAGTCATATGGGCTCCTCGTGTACCCTCGGCCAATCATAAAGCCGTCGAATCTCTTATACCACTATCTTGGTGACTGCTTCAAACCATAAAGAGACTTCTTCAGCTTACAAACCAAATCTTCCTTTCCTGCAGCTTTGAAACCCCGGGGTTGTGTCATGTAGATCTCCTCATCTAAATCATCGTGTAGAAAGGCTGTCTTCACATCCATCTAGACCAAATCCAACTCCAACTGTGCCACCAACGCTAATAAAATCCGTATAGACGAATGCTTCACAACGGGTGAAAATACATCATTGTAATCAATGCCCTTAAGCTGTGCATATCCCTTGGCAACCAATCTGGCTTTGAACCTTATGTTCCCAATAGAAGATCCCTCCTTCTTCACATATACCCACTTGCAACCAATAGCCTTCTTACCCTTAGGTAGATGTGCAAGTGTCCAAGTATCGTTCTTCTGAAGAGACCGCATCTCCTCCTCCATAGCTTCCCTGCACCTGATCGAATCGGGGCTAGACTCTGCCTCCCTGAATGTGGCTGGAACCATATCATCAATGACCTCCACTGATAATGCATATGCGACTATGACATCATTATACCTAGCTGGCCGACGAATCTCTCTCCTCGGTCTATCTGCTGCAATGGACCCCTGAACATGACTCTGTTCATGAGTCCCATAATCTACTGTATCCTCTATCTGCCTGGCTGTCATCTCATCTCCTCCCAGTGTCACCTTTGTAGGAACCTCAATGGATACAGTGCTCTCTGGAGTGAGTGGAGTCACATCACCCTCCACCTGCTGCGATATCTCTCTTGTCTGGTCTCCCTCTACCTGCTGAGGGGCTCAAGGCCTCATCATGTACGCCTCGTCAAATGTGACATCTCTGCTAATAACTATCCTCTTGTCCTGTGGATCCCATAACTTGAAGCCTTTGACTCCATCTCTAAATCCCACAAAGACTGCTTTCCTAGCTCTCGGATTTAATTTACCATCACTGACATGATAATAAGCTGGACACCCGAATATCCGAAGCGACTCATAGTCACTAGCCACCGAACCAAACCAACACTCCAAAGGAGTCTTCCCGTCTATCATAGTGCACGACAACCTGTTTACGTGATGGCTCGCATAAACTACCACCTCGACCCAAAAGGATCTAGGCAATCCACTCTGTGTCATCAGACACCGTACCTTCTCCAGCAAGGTACAATTCAATCTCTCAGTCACCCCGTTCTGTTACGGTGTCTCTCGAACTGTGAAGTGTCTTCTAATGCCGTAATCCCGGCAAAACTGTAAAAACGGATCACTCTTGTACTCTCCACCGTTATCTGAACGTAGAGTCTTCACCTTTCTACCTGTCTGCAGCTCCACTTTTTCCTTCCACTCCACAAAAATATCAAGGACCTGATGTTTATGCTTCATAGGGTATACCTAATTCCTCCTGGAATAGTCATCAATGAAAGTGATAAAATAGTTGGCCCCACCAAGAGATGTGTTCTTGAAAGGATCCCAAACATCTGTGTGTATGTAATCCAATGTATCTCGGATGTTATGAACAGCGGTGCCAAACTTCACTCTAGTCTTCTTCCTAAGTACACAGTGCTCACACAGCTCCATCTTGCAGGTCTTAGCACCTTTCAATAGCCCCTATTTTGCCAATGATTGTAGAGACTTATCACCTGTGTGTCCAAGTCTCATGTGCCATAAGGTGGTAGTGTCCTCCTCTATAGTGATAGAAGCTGCCAGACCCCCTATAACTGTCTTGACCTTCAAGTAGTATAGGTTGTTTTCCCTG